CCTTTATGCCTTTATTATCACAGGCGCTGTGTTTTACAACATCCAGAATAGCAATTTCAACCAAAGATTCCCATGGATGTACACAAATGAGATCATCGGTGCGGAGTTAATGGAGAATTCCTGAAACAAGCTTCCATAATGGCATGTACCACTTGTTTTGGTGGAAACCATCCAGGTTCATCTCTCCAGGCCCTCATCCAGCACCTCCCCTGCTCAGAAGCAGGGGAGGTGCTGGATGAGGACCTGGAAGTAGGAATCAACTGGGGATGAGGGTCTTTGGAGTGAATCACAATTGAAAGACTGAGGGGAGGCCTGCTACTTACAGAGGATTCATCTACTCAGGGAGATTGTTCAATACCACTCACCTTCCGGTTGGTGGCCGCATGATGGTGGACGTGTTCTGAAGCTCTCCGGTAAGAAGAGTCAGAACAACCAGGTTTTGCAGAGTCAGGGGGCAATCTAACCCTCCCCTGTTGATGGTCGAAGGTCGCAGGGGCTATACTCTCGAAGGTAGCCGGCCGACGGCGTCTAGGTGGCTCCCCCCTCAAGGGGGTGCCCAAAGACGCCCGGCAACGGACACAGAGAGAGAGAACGCAGCTCTCTGGTTGGAGGCTTCTGCCTCAAACTCCCTCCATCGGCCACCAGCACACAGAAAAGAAGAAGAATTACTAACAAGAATAACTAAAAGGAAAAAAAGCGTCAGTTTTCTTCCGAGGGATTGCAGACGACAATATCTTAAGAACATAAGAAAATAAGAAGCACCTTCGGAAAGTTGACGGAAAGCGACTCAAGCGAGAAAAAGAGATTCCGTAAAAGGACGCCACACATCACAACCCTTTCTGGAGAAGGTAAGAGAGAGAGAGAGAGAAAAAAAAAGAAAAGAGGATAAAAAGAAGGAAGAAAGAGAAAAGGAGAGGCGGGCAAAAAGGAAGGGGGAAGAAGCGGAAAGATCAGAAGGAAAGAAGAGAGCCGCAGTCGGGTAGAGCAAATATGCTCCCTCCCTGAGAAGGGACAGCAAAACCGGCAATGCCCCCATACCCCAAAGCCATCCCTTAAAGGGGCTGACGGAGGGAAATTTGGAGGCAATAGGTATAGCGGGCTGCAGGCGATCGACTGGTAACAATATACTGATAATTATATAAATATCTACAGAAAAATACAAAGGAAGGAAATATAAAAGAAAGTCCCCAACCTCCCCCCCCCCCCATAGCTGCCCACTCTGTCTACAAAACACCTCCAAACAGCTAAGAGAAAATATTAACCACTTACTGACCTTGAAGACGCCAGCGTTGGAGGGAAGATATCACTTTTTTTTAAGGACTCCAGTTTCAGACTCTAGTACTGCGTCCTTGAGAAGATTGCAAGAGACCTGAGGGAGGATAGACCAGCCTCCCCCGCCTCTTCTACTGCGCTCCCCGGGAAACAAAACGTGGGCAGGCTACGCCACGAAGAAACGCGAGATAACGCGAGCACGCCGGAGCAGCCAAAGTACCGCGAGAGGGGGTAAGAGCGGACGAGAGCAGGAATAGGCTCAGTTTCAAAAAATCTCGCGAGAAGAGGGGAAAAGACAACGGAGACAAAGGAGACGTAAAAAGACGTAAAAGAATAACAGGAAGAGGAAGAAGAGAAACAAGGAACGCAGGGAACACAGGAAGAAACTAATTACAAAATACTAAGAAAGGGAAGGTGGACAAAGGAAAAGGTATATAGAGCACAGGATACAGGTAGAATTGAAAGAAGACAAACAGAAGGAAAGAGAAGGTAAGAGCCCCAATTACACAAGATATAGAACACAAATATCATAAAACCAAATTACATCAAGATATTTTACTAAAGGTGTGGCAATACAGATACACAGTATCAACGGACAAAAATAGAACTGGTATAGATCTTGTAACTGGTGGGTAGGACTATGCTGACAACGATTTGATGATTTGAAAACTTCACTCCCGAGTATACTAAACATAGAGCAAAAATAAACCAATTAAGAAACAGATATATAAATAAATATAGTGGGATACCCGGAAAGAGACTAACAAATATCAAAATAAGAATAATTTAGAAGAATTGACACAAAAATGGTAAGTCAAGCGACTAAAGGAAAAAACATACAATTAAATAAAGGATCAACAAGAAGAGACTCACTCTGTAAACAAGACACACAAATAGACGCACAGACAAAAAAGGAAGCAGCAACAGAAGAATCTGTGTTGGAGAACATCCTAGCAGAGATTAAGAAGATCTCAGAGAAGCAAGATACGCAACATAAAGAACTACAAAATGAGATTCAAAGCATGAAAAAAGAGTTGAAAGAAGAAATGAGTAAATTGAAGGAAGATGTTGATAAGGTAAAGAAGGAGAATCAAAAAATAGTCAAGACTCAAGGAAGAGCAGAAACAAGAATGAACAAACTAGAATCACTTACCCAAAAAATACAGCAACAGACGGAGAAAATGGAATATAGAGAAGCAGAATACCAATTAAGAATACGAAACCTCCAAGAAGTTGAGAATGAAAATGTAAAACAAAATATGATCGTACTCCTGGCAGAATTGTTGGATGTGAGCACAGAGGTAATTGGACAAGACATGGATAGGGCATATAGAGTGCCAACAGGATATGCTAGAAAACATAAGACCCCCGAGGATGTGGTGATAAGTTTCTGCCGAAAGAGCACGAGGGATGAAATTTTGAAAGAAAATGCAAAAAAATCAATATTTTTTAAAGAGCAAAAAGTCATAATTATGAAGGAAATCCCGCAGCAAATCTTAGCAAAGAGAAGAAAATTTAGCTTCCTCACAAAAGAGCTATCCAGAAAAAGAATAAAGTTCAGATGGGAAAAAACAGACGGGTTAACAGTCACATGGAATGAGAAAAGATACTGGCTTAATTCTGAGGAAAGTGCAAAGGCCTTTTATAACGAACATATTAAGGAAAAATCAAAAGAGCAAAGAGAAAGGAAATTCCATGAAAATACGAATAAGAGGAATCCCAATGGAAATAGTAAAGAGGTAAGGATGGCAGAGGAAACGGAGGAAGAAGAAGACGAAAGAGGAAAAGGGGCATACAAATGGCCAAGGGAGATGCAAGAAGAAGAAGAGGATAGGGAACTTAAAAGATTAAGAGAGTTTTCTCCTGAAAACTATCAACTAGTAGTCCCTCAGGACATGTTACAGTGGGAGATGCCCGAAAACACCCATGAATAGAAGCAAAATAAAACTATACTCAAACAACATCAATGGACTGAATTCTCCGAGCAAAAGAAAAAAAATTTTCAACTTCCTGAGACAAAAAA